ATGGGCGTATCGTGGAGATGTTGCAGAGGTGAAGCCTACAAGATTTGGACAGCGATTGGATTTGGGGCTGAAAGCACAGATGGGAGTCTAGGATTACACCTAGTACCCTGGCATGAGGGGAGGGACTGATGGTTGTATTATTGATCTTGATGGAGAAGTCATGGGACGGGGCACGGGCTGGAGGGAATAGTATGAGCTTCATTTTGGAAAGATTGAGTTTGAGGAAGTGGAGTGACATCCATGCCGATATGTCACTTAGTAGGTTAGTAATGCGAGAGGAGACTGAAGGGGTGAGGTGAGGAGTAAAAAGATTGATAGATTTGTGTGTTATCAGCATAGAGATGGTAGCCATGGGAGTTTATCAAGTGACCAAGGGAGGAGGTGTAGATGGGGGAGAGAAGGGGTCCAAGGACAGAACCGTGAGGGACCCCTTCAGAAAGAGGAAATGTAGAGGAGACAGAGTTATAGGTAACACTGAAGGAGCGCTGAGATAGGTAGGAGGAGAACCAGGAGAGAGCAAAGTCTCGGAGACCAAGACAGTGGAGTTTTTTGAGGAGGAGGGGATGGTCAATAGTGTCAAAAGCTGCAGAGAGGTCAAGTAGTAAGAGTACGGAGTAGTGTACATTGGTTTTAGCAGTTAGTAAATCATTTAGTGAGTTTTAGTAGGGCAGTTTCAGTGGAGTGTAGTGAGCGAAAGCCAGAGTGTAAAGGGTCAAGAAGGTTGTTGTCAGTGAGGTAGGAGCTCAGGCGATTGTAGACTAAGCATTCTAAGAGTTTAGAGGTAAACGGGAGCAGGGAGTTAAGTTGTTCAGGTTGGTGGGGTCCAGCGAGGGTTTTTTAAGTATGGGAGAGATTAAAAATGTGAGTGAGGGAGCATAGGATAGAAGAAGAGCGTGACTGTAGTAGTTGTGAGGTGACAGGATCCAAGGGGCAGGTAGTGAGACGGGCTCCTGAGAAAATTTAGTGACCTCTTCAGTAGTAGCAAGGTCAAAAGAGGAAAGTGTTGAGGGAGGTTTAGTATAAGGTATGCTAAGTGGGATAGATGTCTGTGCAGTGGAAATTCCCCTACGAATTGCATCAATCTTGTTGTTGAAATGATTTGCAATCTCGTAAGCAATAAGTGAGTTACTGGGTAGAGGTGGAGTTGGGAAAAAGTTAGAGAAGAGAAGACGAGGACTGGATGACAAACTATTGATGAGAGTGACAAAGTAGGCTTGTTTGGCAGCATGGAGGGAAGAATTGTATGTTAAGAAAGCAGATTTATATACGGTGAAAGCTTGCTGATATTTGGTTTTACGCCACAATCGCTCCAGCAAATGACTAAGATTTGCTTAAGATTTCTGGTGTCGTCAGTCAGCCACGGTTGTAATGGTCAGGGCCTGATACTTTGTGTAGTTAGAGGAGCAAGTGAGTCTAGTGCGGATGAAAGTAAACTGTTGTAGACAGCAGTGGCCAGATCAGATCAGGTCAGGGCAGGACAGGGGAGAGATTCTGTCATAGAGGCGGTCAGTTGCAGAGTGGAAAAGAGAAGGGTTTAAGTTGTGAAGGTTTCTGCTGGTAATTGTTTGCTGCTTGGAGGGTTAGGTGTTTAAGATGAGGACACTGTGAAGGTGATAAGATTGTGATCAGAGAGAGGAAAGGGGGTGTTTGTGAGGTTGTAGGGAGTGCAAAGATGGGAGAAAACAAGGTCTAATGTATTCCCATCAGAGTGAGTGGATGACTGTGTCCATTGTGTTAAGGCAGAAGATGAAGTTGAAGGTTGAAGAGTTGGGATGTAACCAGGTTGTTACATCAATGGGGATGTTAACGTCTCCAAGAATGATAGTGGGTATTTCAGAGGAGAGAAAGTAGGGTAGCCTGGCAGAGAAGTCATCAAGAAAGCGAGACACTGGTCCAGGAGGCTGGTAGATCACTGCAATCCTCAGAAAAATAGGAGAAAACAGCCGAATGCAGTGAGTCTCGAAAGAAGAGAAGGGTAGAGAGGGTGGATTAGGGAAGGCTTGAAAGGTGCTCAGTGGGGATAGAAGCAAACCAACTCCACCACCTTTCCGACCACTGGGTCTAGGTGAGTGGGTCCAGAGAAGGCCTCCATAGGAAAGTGGTGTGGGAGAAGCAGAATCTGCTGCTTGAAGCCAAGTTTCTGTAATTGCTAGTAGGTTAAGGGAGCGGGAGACAAAAAGGTCATGGACAGAGGTGAGCTTATTACAGACAGAGCGGCCATTCCAGAATGCACATGGAAAAGGGATGGTGGTTTTTAAGAGCACGGGGGTAGAGAGTAATGCGTTGCACAGAGACATTTTAACCGCATGCAGCCCAGCCACTGTACATATACGGCGGCAGGGCGGCACTCACAGGCAAAACCACGTTTTAAGACGTGTGTTTTGTAAACAAATAGGAGGCGCGTGCGAGGCGCGCCACTGCCCTATTTGTCCCGCGGATCACCTCCGCAGATGTCAGTCGCCGGGTCACAGCCGCTCCTTAGCGGCTATGTCCCGGCGATCAGCGGCAAACAGTGACAGAGAGCACAGCTGCAGTAGCTGTGCTGTCTGTCACTTCCTTCTCAGCTCGAGGATGAGCTGATCGAGAAAGAACAGTTTCTCTTTCTCGATCAGCCTTGTCCCGTCCAGTACACACCCCCGCCCCCTAGTAAAACACTCCCCTCACTCCTATAACCCTTCCCTGCAAAATAAAGTTAACCCCTTCCTCCCCATTGCCATTAGTACAGTGTCGTTTTTTTTTTTTTTGCACTGATCACTGTATTAGTGTTTTTGGGGATGTCAGTGACCCCAGTCAATACCCCCCAATGTCAAAATGTCCGCCGCAGTCCCGCCATAAGTCGCTGGTCACTGCCATAAGTCCCTGATCGCCGCAATAATTTGCTGATCGCCGCCATCATTAGTATAAAAAAAAAAAAAAAAAAAAATCCCACTATCTTTCCCGCCATTTGTAAACGCTATAACTTTCACGTAAACCAATTAATTTACACGTATTGGGTTTTTTTTTTTAGCAAAGACATGACGCAAAATGCATTTTGGCAGAAATTTATGACTAAATTTGATTTTTGCATTTTTTTTTTACTGGACATGTTTTATAGCAAAAAGTCCAAAATATTGTTTTTTTTCCTCAAAATTGTCAGCCTTTTTTTTTTTATAGCGCAAAAAATAAAAACCGCACAGGCGATCAAATACCACCGAAAGAAAGCTCAATTTGTGGGGAAAAAAGGATGTAAATTTAATTTATGTACCGTATTGCATGACCGTGCAATTGTCCGTTAAACTAGCGCAGCGCTGTATAGCAAAAAAAATGGCGTAAATTGCAGTATTTATACCATAGTTTGTAGACGCTATAACTTCCACAAAAAGCAATCAATATACACTTATTGGGATATTTTTTTTACCAAAAACATGGAGCAGAATACATTTTGGCCTAAATTTATAACCAACTTTGAGTTTACTATATATTTTGTATAGCTAAAAATAAAAAATATTGTTTTTCTTCAAAATTTTTGGCCTTTTTTTGTTTATAGCGTGAAAAATAAAAAGCGCACAGGTGATCAAATTACACCGAAAGAAAGCTCTATTTGTGTGAAAAAAGGATGTAAATTTTGTTTGGGTGCAGCAGTGCATAACCACGCAATTATCAGTTGAATTAGTGCAGCGCCGAGTAGCAAAAAGAGGCCTGGTTATTAAGGGGGGTAAATCCTCTGGAGCTCAAGTGGTTAAGGTGGAGATGAGACCGCAGCATTTACCTGTGAAAAAGCAGAGATGACATAATCAGGGTGTTTTGTTCAACTGCTGCTTCACACTCCAGCATAAAACACACTCTCGCAGAAAACTGCACCCCCGTCTGCGACTGTGCCCGCCGTCTTTGCCACTTAATGAAATTAGAGAAGAGGTTTAACCTTAAACTGCGTAGGGTTTTTTTTCCACTGTCGGGGCTAAGGAAGTGGAACTCCATCAGTGGTGTCAGTGGGAAGTATGGATAGTTTCAAAACAACTTAGATGGGCATCTTGGTGAACACAATATACAGGGATATGATCTTTGACATGAGCACACACACACCCACACAGGTTGAACTGGATTGACTGGTGTCTTTATTCAACCTTACAAACTGTAACTATATGATGTGGCCCTCATAACAGAAAGTTTGGAGTCCCCTGGGCTAAATGCCTAGCATGTGATCAAAATTCTGTCAGCATGCAGAGACCAGATAAAACACAATGGCACCACTATATCTCCATGATTCTGCATCACTACCCAAAGAACATATTGAGTTGCATGACCTTATTCCTTTTTAAAAGTCCATAGAGTTCATGTAGACATGTATCCTCCTGTTATCCTGCATAATTATGGTGGGAAAAAGAATTGGTTCACTTGGAATGGTCAAAAACAAAATTGGACCAATGTAAGTATGCATATTTGATACCTGTAGGACTGCTGTGAAAGCAGAGGATTGCTGTAGTAGTTGGCACTACTACAGTGATTGGCATGGTGTTGCTGGTCCTGTGTTGAGCAGCTGACCTTGCAAAGCTGCCATTCATAGGGCACCTTGTGCTTTTCTCAAGAAATGCAAAGATGAAAGATGTTCTCCTATCCCCCTTTCTCTGTTCATATCCTTCAACTTCTTTCTTCCTTTATTTTAATTTGTGAAAAATTCAGAATTCTTACATTTTAGAAATTAAACATTTTTACAAATGAACTGTTGCGGAACACAACTAACTATTATGGGCATTATTTATGTTATCTCTTGTAAATAAAAGGGATCTGAGGTTTTCCTTCTTCATTACACATCTAGAGAGAAGAGCTTTGGGTGACAGATTTAGTGATTGAGTCAGTGAAAGTGCTGCTCCTTGTTATTCAGCCAAGATCTGATTCCCACACTCAGCTGTATCTGTGAAGCACGACATAAATTACATCACTATTGCAGCAGACCTGTCAAGCTTTCCCATTACACTGTCATGTGTCACAAACAAATAATCAGACCTTAACATCTTTCAAACATAGACCAAATGGTGATCGATGGATGTAGAAAACATATGCGAAAAACATGTGGTGATGTGTTAGACAATCTTAAAGGTGACTGCTATGAGGTATGTATATTTTTTATGCTGCTTTTTTAAATGGCATAGTTTTTTTGTAATTTGATGACCTATGTAGTAACTTAAGAGGACCTCATCTAGTATATATTTATACAGTCCCCTATTTAGAGTTTTAATGGTAAACATACATATTTCTTTAATTCAATTGCTATTGCTCACATACCACTAAATAAAGTGTAACTTAGCCTTGAACAAAAATGTAACATTGCAATTTACCAGCCCTTAGAGGTGGTACTTGCATTGAAAGTACAAGATACAAGTCAGGTTTTAGGTTTCCTGTGTAACAATGTAATTTTTGGTGAGATACTCCCTAAGATTTTATCACTTTTAAAGGGATGCAGACAGTGCAGCTTTTCTCATCAGAACCTTGAAAGTGCTCTAGCAACAACCACTATTTTTCAAAGCAAAAACAGGTAGGAATCTGCAACAAATTGCGCGATTAGTGTGCAATTTCAGGTACGATCTCTGAAGACTTTATTGCTACTTGTGAAGATTTTCAACGATTCTTGCAGTTTGCAGTACAATTTCCATTATATTCTAAGTATGTGAAATCTCAATAAAACTGCAGAAAAAGTAATGCAAGAACTACTTTGGAAATCACGCTGCAGCAAATCGCACATGTTAAGAAATTGGCATTCACATTCATTAAATGCAATTTCAATTCACAAATCGCAGCTGAAATCACACTGGTGTGACCAGGCACTTAAGTGTTTCAGCCAACCCTGTCCTTAAACATAGACACTACCTTAATATCATATTGTAATCTTCTATTGCCCCCTGTCTTTCTCAGCCCCAGTAAGTTTTTTAAGACTATATACAGTTGCAAGAAAAAGTATGTGAACCCCTTGGGATTATGTGGAGTTTTGCATGAATTGGGCATAAAATGTGCTCTGAACTTCATCTAAGTCACAACAATAGAAGAACACAGTCTGCTGAACATAATACTACACAAACATTAGATGTTGCCATGGTTTAATTGCACATAACATGTAAACATTCACAGTGCAGGGAGGAAAAAGTATGTGAACCTTTGGACTTAATAACTGGTTGACCCTCCTTTGGCAGCAATAACCTCAACCAAACGTTTCCTGTAGTTGCAGATCAGACCTGCACAACGATCTGGAGTAATTTTGGACCACTCCTCTTCACAAAACTGTTTCAGTGTAGCAATATTCTTGGGATGTCTGGAGTGAATCGCTCTCTTTAAGGTCATGCCACAGCATTTCAATCGGGTTGAGGTCAGGACTCTGACTGGGCCACTCCAGAAGAGTATTCTGTGCTGTTGCAGCCATTGTTTTGTTGAATTACTTGTATGCTTTGGGTCATTGTCCTGTTGCATCACCCATCCTCTGCAGAGCTTCAGTTGGCGGACAGATGGTCGTACGTTTTCCTGCAAAATGTCTTGATAAACTCTGGAATTCATTTTCCCATCAATGACAACAATCCGTCCAGGCCCTGAGGCAGCAAAGCAGCCCCAAACCATGATGCTCCCTCCGCCATGTTTTACAGTGGGGATGAGGTTTTGATGTTGGTGTGCTGTGCCTTTTTTTTCTCCACACATACTGTCGTGTGTTCTTCCCAAACAACTCAATCTTGGTTTCATCTGTCCACAGTATATTTTGCCAGTAGTGCTTTGGAACATCCAGGTGCTCTTTTGCAAACTTCAAACGTGCTGCATTATTCTTTTTGGACATCAATGGTTTCCTCCATGGTGTCCTCCCATGTACTCCATTCTTGTTTAATGTTTTCCTTATTGTAGATGTGTCAACAAAAATGTTAGCATGTGCCAGAGATTTCTGTAGGTCTTTAGCTGACACTCTGGGATTCTTCTTTACCTCATGCAGCATTCTGCGCTGTGCTCTTGCAGTCGTTTTTACAGGACGACCACGCCTAGGGAGAGTAGCAACAGTGCTAAACTTTCTTCATTTGTAGACAGTCTGTCTTACTGTGGACACATGAACATGAAGGCTTTTGGAGATACTTTTGTAACCCTTTCCAGCTTCATGCAAGTCAACAATTCTTGATCGTAGGTCTTCTGAGAGCTTTTTTCTGCGAGGCATGGTTCACATCAGACAGTACTTCTTGAAACCAGTAAACCCAAATCAGGTGTGTGTTTTTTAAGGGCACGACAGCTGTCAGCAACACATCCAATATCATCACACTGATTGGAGTCAAGGTTGGCTCACTCCTGGCTCCAATTAGCTCTGGGAGAAGTCATTAAGCTAGGGCCTCACATACTTTTTCCTCCCTGCACTGTGAATGTTTACATGTTATGTGCAATTAAACCATGGCAACATCTAATGTTTGTGTAGTATTATGTTCAGCAGACTGTGTTCTTCTATTGTTGTGACTTAGATGACGTTCAGAGCACATTTTATGCCCAATTCATGCAAAACTCCACGTAATCCCAAGGGGTTCACATACTTTTTCTTGCAACTGTATGTATACTATATATAAAACTTTTATTGGTTTGTGTCATTTTCACAGATTTTGGTTGAAGATTGTATCCCAGTGTTGAAGATGTATGCCAAAGAAGGGCGAATGTTTGACTATGTGATTAATGATCTTACCGCAGTCCCCATTTCCACATCTCCAGAAGAAGGTAGTTAAGATGTGTTGCATCATTTTCTATGATAAGCAGTAGACACTTTCAATATTGACATTACAAGTCAAAGGGTAAAGATGGTCCTCCTTTTTAAAAATATGTCTATTTGTTTTAAAATTGAAAGTACGGCAGCTGAAGCTCTTTTAATTAAAAGTCAAGCTACTCTTTTTAGCTTCACTTGAGTCAATATGCCTGCTGTGCTATGATGCCTCACCTGCAGTCCAGGACGATAAAAGGGAGCATCTTCTTAGATACGGTTTTACATGTTTTTCTTTTAAACCTGTTCGTTATGAAAGGCAAAAACATGCAAGCATCTGCTGTTTGAATATAAGTAAATAACGGCTCCTGACGTGTGGCTACCTTTTGTAGCATGAAAACTTTGTAAACTCCTTGAGGGCAGGGACTGATATAAATGTACAATATATATGTAAACTCCACATAAATTGATGGTGCTATTTTCAAAGAGTACCTGTATTAAATAAATTAAATTATACAGCTAATGCAGTATTTGTAGAGCACCATAGATTACAAAAATGTATTGCCTGTCACTATAAATCAGGGGTCTCCAAACTTTCTAAACAAAGGACCAGCTTACTGTCCTCCTAACTTTAGAAGGGCCATACTGTGGCCAGTGGGAGTAGAAAATGTACTGGTGTCAGTCGGAGTAAACAATGCCCCATCATTGGTATTAGGGGGAATAATAGTTTCGATCAGTGGGAGAAATAGTGCCCCATAATTGGTGTCACTGGGAGGAATATTGCCCCATTATTGCTATCAATGGAAGGAATAGTGCCCTACCATTAGTATTAATGGGAGGAATAGTGCCCCATCGTTGGTATCAGGGGAAAGAACAGTGCCCAATAATTGGTGTCAGTGGAAGGAATATTTCCCCATAATTGGTGTCAGAGGGAGGAATACTGCCCCATCATTGGGGTCAATGGGAGGAATAGTGTCCCATCAGGGTCAGTGGCAGAAACTATGCTCCACTGTTGCAGACAGTAGGGGGAATAACATTCCAAGGGCCAGATAGAAGTAAGCAAGGGGCCATAGTTTGTTGACCATTGCTATAAATCTATATATGAACAAAGCCAAAATTGGGCATGTTTACATGTAATTTCATTTAAAATGATCAATAGTTTTACTAGTGATTTTATTTTATCTAGATTCTACTTGGGAATTTTTACGTTTGATTTTGGACCTTTCCATGAAAGTCTTGAAACAAGATGGAAAATACTTCACTCAGGTAAATAAGCAAAATTTGTCAACATAGAATCTTGCAACGCAGACCGCTATGGTAGGGTGCAGTAACCTATAGTTGAAAATTACTTGTTTATCATGTCAGAAATTTATATCTGTTCATTCTCTTTGTGTTATCATAATGAGCCTAATTAGACCTCCTAGTTCTTATCTTGGAACTACAGATCAATTGGTGTGTTTAACAGACTAGGGGATGAATCTGAGTAGTTTAGCAAAAGACAACTCTGCAGAGTCAGTACACAAAACACAAAAATGATGTGTGCTGTCAGCCCAGAACAGAGTACATTTCTTGCAGATCATCAGGTATTTTCCTGTACTTGTATAGTCCTAAATGGAAAATAACATGGGGAAGTGTGCATGTCTTGCAGAGACATCAACAAAATGTCTCTACAATTATGCCCTGAAAAGGGAAAAATGCATCTGAGGAGTTCTCTACAAGTGGATAACAGGAGCTGAAGCCATCTTTTACCCAGTAGGGAGTCGGTGTCTGTGTGCAGACGTCCACCATTTTGTTGTAGTCTACTAGAGCCTGGCAAGCCGATCCGGTCTATTCTGGACCAGTCTATTCACATGCTGATCTGACTGACAGGTTTGGGGGGGATGGGGGCATTTAAGTGGTACTATTTTTATTGTCTTGCATACTACATATGTTTTTTATTTTTTCCCTAGCATACACTACAAGTACAATAATTTCAGGTTACTGATAGATGAATCCCAGTTATTATGAGTTGCTTAATTTTCCTCATTGTTCAACATATCCAGTGAGTGTATGATTTTGTGTTAACTATACTGTCGCTCAGATCAGGTACCCATTCCAGATTTAGACTTTTTATATGCTAGGTAATTAACAATGTTGGGTGTTATATTTTCTTGAATTTTTTTTTTAGCATGCATTATTGGACAAGTGACATCTGAAGTAGAAATGGTTGAAAACATTGTTTTCTTTCCAGAAAATGTGAGCTAAGCTTTGTTGAGGCTGGGTAGGGCAGCAGCACACTGCAGCAGGGCTTGGACAAAATGATGTGTGCAGGGAATGCCTGATGAGTCTGAATGTCGAAAAATGTGAGATAATGCACTGTAACCATGGTAACAATTGTGATATCTGTACATTAAAGGGAATACGAACTAGGAGATCATAGATTAAATAGAAATAATGAATAGTAGAAGACAGTAATTTGAGTTCCATAATTCCATGACAGGGAAATGCTGCACATTCTATGCATGGCATAAAATGAAAGATGGTTGCATTGTTTCCATGGCAATCAGAAAGCAGAGCAGAGTAAAACAATATCTCGCCTAAAACTATACAGTACACCCAGTTAGATTAATGTTTATAGAACACATCATATTTTTTTTTTGTAGATATTGTTTTCTCTTTGTATCAATTTGTAATATAATATATATATTTTTTTGATCAAGTAGCACTATGTTTGTTTACAGGTAATATAGTGACCCTGATTTACCAAAGCCACAGAGAATGTTTCACTTTAAATGTGAATTTTCACTTTGCAAAGTGGATTTTGTCTCATCTTGGTGAATGAGGTAAAACAACGTGACAATTCACTTTCCAAGCAATACCCAGCAAAGAAAAAAAATTGGATTAGGAAACTGATTAGCTGATTGAAGTCATCACAATTTCACCTCACACCCCAGGCCAAAGGAAAGATGATTTTGCATAGAAAATATTCACTTTGTATATGGAATGAAGTGAATTTGTATTGACTTCAATTATAAAGTCATGTGGGAGCAAAAATCTTTTTTTTTTTTTCCTTTAAATTTGCTGTGCATGTGATTGGCCATTCTTTGCATAGGGAATTTTTCTTTATTTAACCCTAAGATTAATGAAAAATCACTTTAAAAAGGCTTGGGTCCAATTCACACCAGTTAGACGCAGTAATGTACATGTTACTGCAACATGTGGCAGCGAATGTTACTTGCATTGGTGGAGTGCAGTGCCATACATTTTGAATTGTATTCCAGTGCACTGAAACATGCAGTGGAGCACTACCCTGTACCCTGTTTTAATGTAGTGCTAATGCAAGACATAATGAGCAATAATGCACCACAATGGAACTGGGGGGTGCAAAATAGAAACGTTATTTGTTTCTGCATTTTGGACATCTTTATTGCCCTTTGCACAGATGTGTTTGATTTAAGCTCCATTCACACTAGGGCATTTCAAATTGCAGGCGGAATCACCGCGATTCTTTCTAATTTGAAAACATGCTGTTAAAGTGTGAAAATGCACGATCGCGTGTTCGGGTGCCATTAATGTCAATGGCACCTGAAAACTCAGGGCAATTTGTTTTTGTGTGCCAAATGTGCCGCAGTTGGGCAAACAATAATTGCGGGACACACGGTGCTCAAAAGAGGTTCTGGATCTGATTGGCACCCAAACACGCAATTGCGCAATTTCACACTTTAACAGCACTCTTTCAAATTCTGGACAGAATCATGGCAATTCCACCCACGATTTGAAACACCCTAGTGTGAATGGAGCCTAATAGAGACACTGATGAGTCTTGATGACACTTCCCTCCATGACTGCCATATAGAAATCTGCTGTAAACTTTAGAAAAAAAGATGGGCCATAAATTTCTGGGTCCAGAAAAGCTGGTAGAATCCGTAACACTCAAGTGAATTTACAGCAAAAAGTGTTTACATGTTTTCTTTGGGTGGAGAAAAGGGGGTATATATATATGTGTAAACAACAATAACACATTTCTGCTTTTTTTTTTGTTGATTATCTTTTATTTCACATTAAAATAATACATCTTCCAGTTATTATGCATATTTTATAAATCAAATGGAAATATAAACATAATGATGGAATTTAATGTCCTGGGGGATTTTGAGTTCAAAGTGCTCTCATACTTAAGTCTCATTGACCACATAGATTTTTCTTTTCTTTGTTTCGATGAACAAGATTGTGTAACTGAACTCTTTTCTGTAGAAGTTCCTTTGATATTATGCAGTGATACTGTACTAATAGAAATACATGCTCTTCAACCTGGTCACACAATTTAGAAAAGTTAATAGTAAAAGAATTGGATTGTCTACATTTTTCTTGTGCATATTGGAAGTATGGTTCTTCACATGTCCACTAGGAGGCAGGATCATACAACATATTGGTAGCATATTGTATTATATGATTGCATGCCTGCGTTTATAGTTTCTATGACTTGAGCATGCTGTATTTCACATCAATTAAATGTTCTTTCAATCCTCTTTAATGAAAGGATTTCACAAAGTTCCTAGAACATTGTTTACATTTAAGATATTACCATGCTTTTTGACATTTTCAGAATGTTTTTAGCCTTAAAAACAGCAATCATTTTAAGGAAATTGCAGATTTGATATGTCCTAACTCATCAATTTTAGTGGCTTTGGGCGACAATTACTATGACTGACAGACATATTTCTGCTGAATGTAGTGTGCTATAAGGAAGTTAACCTGTCAACCCTGCTGTGGTATCACAATGGCTACATTTTCTTCTTTCCCACATAAATAGATAGGTATGTTTGCTTATTTCCATACTGTCTGTTTTTAGAATGATAAATTTGAAAATTCATATATGTATACACTCACCTGGCCACTTTTAAGCACACCTGTTCAATTGCTCGGTAACACAAATTGCTAATTAGCCAATCACACGGCAGCAACTCAATGCATTTAGGCATCTAGACATGGTAAAGACGACTGGCTGAAGTTCAAACTGAGCATCAGAATGAGGAAGAAAAGGGATTTAAGTTACTTTGAACGTGGCATGGTTGTTGATGCCAGACGGACTGGGCTGAATATTTAAAAAACTGCTGATCTACTGGGATTTTCATGCACAACCATCTTAGGGAAATCAAGACTCATGATACCAGGCAACGTTTTTCCAATCTTCTTTTGTCCAAATTTGGTGAGCCTGTGTGAATTTTAGCCTCTGTTTCCTGTTCTTACCTGATAGGCGTGGCACCCGGTATGGCCTTCTGCTGCTGTAGCCCATCTGCTTCAAGGTTTGACGTGTTGTGCGGTCAGAGATGGTGTTCTGCAAACCTTGGTTGTAACGAGGGGTTTTTGGGTTACTGTTGTCTTACTATCATCTCGAACCAGTCTGCCCATTCTCTTCTGACACCAACAAGACATTTTCGTCTATGCAACCACCGCTCGCTGGATATTTTTTCTTTTTCTGATCATCCTTTGCAAACCCTAGAGATGGTTGTGCATATATAATATATTAGGTATAATATAATATGGCACCCATATTCACCACAATTTGATTTTATTGTCTAGTTTTATGCATCCCTGTTAACAAAAGGTAGACCAGGACAACATGTACAACAGTCAATGAGCTACTAATGCCATCCAAAAAACATCATAACTGTGCTAAAACTAGAAGTTCTTCTAACTCTAGCCTAATCTTGGTTTCCTGTAACTCAGCTTTTTGTTTATACACTGCTATGTGCGTTACTTACTTCTAAATGTTACACTCTATGCAATCTGCACTCCTAATCCTTGCACTCTGGGCGTTACACACTGTTAACCTCTGCACTCTGTGTATCATGCACTCTTAACCCCGCACTATGAGCATTATGTGCTTCTGACCCCTGCACCCTACCTATTACAAACTCCTGACTCCTTTGCTCAGTGTATTACATAATTCTGACCCTTGTACCGTGTGTTATGCACTCCTGTCCCATACCCTTTGTGCATTATTCACTCCTGACCCCTGCAAAGTGTGTGTAGCTGTTTACTATTAAAGTGATACTAAATGCTAATTTTTTTAAATAACAAACATAATACTCACCTGCTCTGTGCAGTAGTTTCTCCTCTTATCGGGTCCCCTGCTGGTGCTTGGGAGGCACTGGTGCATGCTCGCTCCTGCTGAGCCCCGCTCTCTACATTCATAAGACATAGCAGAGCGTGACACACCCCCTGCTCCCTCTTCACTGGCTATGATTGACAGTAGCGGGAGCCAATGGCTCAGCCAATGAGGAGGTAGAGACCCAGGAGATCTGAGCTCC